CGAACACTATTTCGGGCAGATAAGAAGAGGAGGAGGACTGAACCCAAGAACCACGCCATGCATGTTTGCAGACCTTTTCCTCCAATCATGGGGTCTCAGACATGTTAAATTTGTCACTAGAGGCAACTGCGAATCATTGGCTACTGCTGAATGGGAGCTTTTTTCATTTAGTACCCTAGAGAGAGTCTGTAATGATCCTCTGGTCCAGGATACTTCTTGGCAAACTTTTCAAAGTTTACCCAGGCCTCATATTGACGATATTAGAAATAATATTGAAATAGATATAGTTGAAAGTGACTTCCTTCAACGAAATTCGTTTGCCTATTTTTGCGGCTATATTTACTTCGAATACTATAAGCAACATAATTGTTTGACACCTTTGCCACATTTTGAAGAAGGTGAAATTCCTGAAGATGCCTTCACATTTACAAAAGAGAAGGAATATGATAGGTCAAACTTAGTCAAACCCCCATCTGATTTTATCAATTATATCACAAAACTTGATGAAGTTTTAAATGAATATTTTGAGTCTTGTTGTCATTTAATTGGATTTTCAAAAGCCTTGTTTGATAAAATGTGTCACATAGAGTCATTCCAATGTTGTCGAAATTCAAACCCCGATGATGTGAAACATCTTTTTATTAGAATACGAATATACTTTTCGTTAAAAATTTTTACAAAGGAGGCTTCCTCACCCAATTTCAATCATACAAAGTTTCTATGCATTTCACATATATAGGTCTTTTCCATTTGCAAATATACTCATAATGTTTAATACAATTTCGCAAACTCCAACGATTTTGCAATGTGTTTAAAGATAACGCTTCCAAATACCCCTGTCGGTGCGTAGAAAATTTATCTTGTATATGTACATATGTAAATATAAAAGAAAATGTGATTTTTTTATTTTTTAAAGTACAAATTTTATTTAATTTTACTAGTTTTAATAAACTCTTACCACGTATATACATACAAATATATGAATTTTTGATTTTGCATGCCTTACTTTTTATTTATATATAACTTTAATTATGTATTTAGTTTAAAAGGTTATAATAGCCCTCATGGGGAACTGACCACCTTAAAAAATCGGTAACGCGCCTGATTGTATACCTCAGTGATGGTGTGGAAAATACAAAAAAAAAATAAACTGCATTTCTTTAACCACAATATTTCTTTTTTAT